TCACTTGACTGCAACATTGATGTTCCCTCCAGTATCAGTTACCAAGCAGTCGTCACTTTGAATGATATTCGAGACAGACAAGAAATCAAAAAAGTTTTTCCGTGATTCCTCCCCATCCAAGAAATCGAAAGCACGCGACCGTGTGCTGTGGAGTAAACGGGCTTTCAAACACGTAATAGAAGAAAACAATCTACTGAGGCTTCACCACACTAATGATCACTCAGGCAAACTTAAGAAATATTCGGACCTTCGTCAAATTACGTTGTTCGCCACCGCGCCGACAAGTTCTCCGCGAAAGCCACCAGAGACGCGGAGGGGCGCGGAGCGACCTGGACCGGCTGGTCCCCGGTTTTCCCGCTTGGCGGCGTCCGTTTTGGTGGAGTCGCAAATATGGGATGCTGCTGGCTTCCTCGTCATAATGTGATACATGTTTTCTCCCTTCTCTTCTGTCTTTTTTGCGTACTTTCTGTAGTGGGTGTATTCTATACATTTATTTCTCTGTTTTCTTTTTTTATATGTGGTGGCGGGCTGGCAGCAGACGTACAAGCTACTAAAAAAAGTAATTAAGTAAGTTACTGAGAATTACCCTCAAAAGTAATTTGAGTAGAGCAGAAATTACTCAGATAGAAAGTAATTGAGTAAATTACTAATTACCGTAAAAAAGTAGCAAATTACTTTTGAAGTTACTTTTATTTTTTCTATGCTAACAAGGAAGTACTTACAAAAGGTTTTGATGCGTTAGCGAAATTCTGCTAGTCGAATATAAAGCGGCTTGTGTTTTCACAGAAATGCTTAAATAGCTGGTTCTGCTTCTGCGTGCCTAATTGTTGCGTACTTCTTTTTAGTCAAGGATGTCTTGCGGATGTATCATATCACCTTTGAGGTTTAGCACTGCCTGAGCTTGATTTTGCAGACAGAGTTTGATTGCTTACAGTGATGTGTAAAGTACGTCTAAAAGCTACCTGGAAGTACAAAGTAAATGAGAGGTTATGTACTTCAAGTAAAGTAGTAAGTACGCCGAATGCAATGTACTTGAAGTAAAGTACTATAAATACAATGTACTTCCAAAGTAAAGTTGAAGTACTTTTTAACACACTCTTTCAGAATGCCCTTTCATTTCCTATACAACGTTCTTCTTTGTTTTGTTTTTTAATTGGCCGGTATGCATTGTTTTAAGGGAAATCGGAGGTGCATCAGATTTTTTCGGAAAGAATAGCAAATTCGGAAATGCGTCAGTTTTTCTTTCTTTTTTTTTTGGGGGGGGGGGGGGGAAATGGCGGCAACTAATACGCCAAAGAGTAATTGCTTTATTCTCGCTGCCGAACCATTTAAGACAATTAACTTGTAAAGCACTTATTTGTATCAAATTTATAGCCGCCATTACTTCACTCAGAGAAATGACCAGATGACGTTTCGAAAGACAGCACAAGCTATACGGGAGCACCAGATGAACTTCAGAGGGGGTGCTGCACTTTATTACCTCTTTTGAGTGAGGATGTAGTGTGTATCCCTCCTGTAGTCGGCAAGAATTCCTACATTGGGGCGAAGGGGGGCAAGCCCTTTCTTCAAACGGGTCAAGTCTCCTTGAGCTTCGGGACACGGAGAAACGCCAGTCTTCGGCGCTAATCCCACAGTTACTCGGCCTCTCTTGCGTCGTGTCTGTTCACTCCCCGCGCCTCGTAGCAGTGTTGTTGCAGTGGGGGGCTCGTTAAAAGTTTTGGGGGTTTGAACTATCCAAATTACTTTCCTCCTCCCCCCCTCCCCCCAACTTTTCTACGCCACATGCTTCCCCCTCTGCAAATACAGCTGACCTTCCAACATCTTATCTCTGTTGATAGGCAAAACAACCACTAAAATTCGAACGTAATTTGTAATTTGAGTAGAAGTCACTCGGAAAAGTAGCTAAACTACTCATAACCAAAATAAAAATGTAATTGAAAGTTACTAAACTACCCAGAAAAGTAGTTGAACTACAGTAACTTGAGTAAAGTAGCTGAACTACGTACAAGTTTGGCTGGCAGGAGCTCTGCGTAAGGGTTTCCACCCATCTGCTTAGCCCCGCACTCCACCACATGGGCCCCTTCCAGTACGGGCAAATAAAATTATTATTATTATAGTTATAACAATCTTGTTTTCAGCTCACAAGTAGTTTGTGACAAAACAGAATAATATTGCTTTTTTGTTCGCATTATTTTGCGATTTCCATGTATCTGCATAAAATTAAACACAGAACCATCATGCCTTGACGTTGCACATCCGACATTCCTAACTCTCCCCAACTTTCTAAACCTCCGTGTGTGTCCTAACACCGTAAACTGGAATTTAAAGATTAAAAACGTAACGTTGCGAATATCGAACGCATACTTTCATGCTAAGCTGACGTCAAGTGACTAAAATTGAAAAACATGCATATTTACAATATTGTTATCTCTTCTGGTGAAGGCAAAGCAATCATTGCATTCGTTTCAGCGCACGAAACGGTGGCTCCCAGAGAAAGTAAAAAAAACCTACACCGTGGTAAAAACGCGGGGATTGCCTTTATTTTAACAATGTAATCAAACTTGCAGGCGTGCACTGATGAAACCTCAAAATCAAAACTCTCGTAGTGTGATTCGTGACTGCGTCGGCTACTACCCAACCTCCTTGTCACTCCACTTTCTGCAAGCAAACACTAAAATTGCCAGTAAACACACAAAAGCGACATCGATACTATCTTGTACAACATCACATTATTTAGTAATAACTGTGTCAATATGCACTACATGTTGTATTAAAGTTTTAAAAAAAACATTCGCCTTTTTTCGTCAGAAAAAACTAAATATCAACGCTAAATCTGGCAACAGTGCTTTTTTTTCGGATTATTGCCGAATATTTACAAAAGTTCGGCAAAAGTTGAGCCGAATTTTCGATTCGGCAAAAGTTTGGCCCATCACTGGTTAAAATATGCGACCCGGGGGGGGGGGGGGGTCTGGTTTGCCCCCCCCCCCCCCCCCCACCCACTCAGAAACAAGTTGGTACACCACTGGTTGGGGGGGGGGGGGGGGGGGTTAGGGCGCTAAACCGCTCCCGGCACCATAACATAACTGCTCTCGACGTTCGCGGAAAGACGCTGTAGAACTTCGCCTTGATTTTGCCGCATGTTATCGTTGGGAAAACAATTTCAGGGGAGAATGGTGCAGTATGTTCGCTGCTTCACCAGAAAGCGAATCGTGTTATGAGCGTACGGCCCAAGTTTAAACGATCGCTTTGGGTGCCTCCTCTGCCCTAGACGCACGTTAGAAAGCATGGATCGCCGCGAGGAATGTCTGTCCCTTGGTCAACCGCACTATTTGTTAAGAATTGTTTGTTTTCAGAAAGTTGTATCTTTTGACAAGAGTGGTGATGCAACAAAACGAGGAATCCCAAACCGAATTCTAACTTAATATGGGTTGTCAAATCGCAAGTTCTACGCAACGTTTCTTTTTTTTTTTTTCTCGCATAATTTTTAGTTTTTGCGGAAATATGAATGTTGTGCAATCAGAAAACTTAGCTGCTGATGTGCTGATGGTTCTTAGAAATTCCTGTGTTGCCGCTATTGCCTCTCTGAGTAGGAAAGTCATTGCCGCTGCAGCCGATATGTTTCCTCTTACTGCATGCGTTGTGGTGTGGGTGTGTGGGTTGGACAGAGTCGCGAAAAACGTTAAGATGAGGAAATTTTATATAGTTTCGGCAGATAGTTCAGATGACTTCGATAACAATACCCGATATTGCGCCGCCGCCTTTGCGCATGCACCGTATCGTTATCGGAGGCATCAGAGGTATTGAACTCTCCAGTGTCACTTCTATGATTACGATCCGCAAACTATTCGTTGAATCGACAACCGTGGGAAGTGAAACAAACTGTTCTAATAAATCTGCCGCAAGTGGAATAAACATAGTGTAAGCCGGCAACACAGAAGCGTTCTTGTTATTAGATCATCAGCTCAGCCGTGTGGATTCACCAACTTCGATCTTCTTGGTGACGGCGGCGGGTTCCAAAATGCTGAGACTCTGAATTTCACTCGAACAAACAACCCGCACCAGGCGACATCGGCCGCAGCGACAGTCTTGTACTGATGAAGGCTAGCGACTCTCACCCGACTTTCGGATAGCCCATCGCTCTAGCCTCGTATATATTAGAACTGAGAAATTCATCGACTATATCCTTCAGATTATCTGGTTAATAGATTAACTGCGATCAAATGTTTTAGCCGCTTAATCAGAGTTTTGAGTTGGAGAAACTCGAGCCAAAAAGAGTTAAAATGTCTGATCTATTATTCATTAGGTCTTGACTTCTTTTGGGATCCAGGCTTCCACGGTAAACACCTTCAGCATTCTTCTGATTGTCACCGAGAGTTATTATAATGTTGAAATAATAGCTTAAAAATGTCTTCACTTTTTAAACCTTTCCTTTTTAAAATGTGTCACAACGTAAGTTTCGAAGGGTGCAGCAATACGCCATTCACGACATAGCAAAATTTGAAAAAAAAAAAAAAAAAAGATGCGCGGTTTTAACGTCTTATATATAATATCCCGGAGATCAATCTAGTAATGGGTTACTTGATTAAAAGGGTAGTAATTAGTCGGGTTATTTTTTTATTCAAAATTAATCTCCAATCAACATTAAGTTTTTATATATAGAAGCTATGGCTTGAGCGAGATACCGAAAAAACTGTAGGACCCGTGGTTCTACAAATCACTGCTTTGAGATTATGGGGGCATTCAAATGGATACTCCTCGCTTTGCTGAGTTCATACGCACGGGAAACGACACAACATTTAGCAGACACAACAATAGAACACGCATTTAATAAGGAGAGTGCAGATCAGCCGGAAACAGGCTTTCGTCGTCGAGATTCATGCTTCGCAACGTGCGCCCGGGGCAACCGATGTCATGTGGATGTTTACTTCTTGCAGCAGCACGTTGGCGAAGCGGTTGGATCTCGAGACGGTGTTCCCTGGTCCAGCCGCTCGATGTCTCGCTCAGTCGGGTAAGACTGGGGGAACGTTCTGCTCATATTGCCCCTCAACGTTTCCCGGGGGGTTGTAGTTGCAGACGACAAAGTATGCGCTCCGGGAAGCCGCTTTGCTTACGGCGCATCCCGAGTTTGTGGTGCCCTTCCAGACGACCTGGGTGAAGTGTCCCGTTTTTGACGAGAAGCCCGGATTGGCGTAGTCGTAGTCCTTGATCTCGTTGTACCAGGAATCAACGGGAGCGTTCGCTGCGCGAAAAAAAAAATCTATACGTCGTCGTCCTTCGTTTGTACATATCTCATAATCATCATCACTAGACGTGGCGCCGCGGGTCTCCATGGTACAGGCTGTCGCCTTTCCGCGGTGCCACAGCTCCTCTGAGCCAATAAAGATTATTATTATTATTACTATTAAAAAATAGAAAAACTAAAAAGAAAATCGGTTGTCTCGTTGGCATTTTCTAGAGGCGTTCAACATGGTGCGTAGCATTTTTACTAGAGGATGCAACAGTTCGTCAAACCGAATATCCGGTTGAACCGTAAGAAAGAGAATTCGGCTTTCAGAGCAGGTTTTTCGGTTATCCAGATTATTCAATTTTATCTAATGTACATTAATAATAACACTTTTATTTCATTTGTACCTATTTCTGTGCATATGACGATAAGATCGAATTATAAAGGCGCGCTTTTGTACCGTTTATTTTTTTGTGAGGAGGTGAGGAGGCCATTCAGGGGGGGGGGGGGGGGCGGCGGAGAAAAGCTCACCGGAGAAAAGCTCACCGGAGATAAGCTCACCGCAAAACCGGCAGATGCGGAGAAAAGCTCACCGATTTTTCCTTTTTAACTCAGCGGATTCCGCGTCAAACCTTGCCATTTAACATAATTCGCATTCATCACTTCATTAAAAATATGGCCACTTTTTTGTAATACTCTTGAAGTTCGTTGGGCATATTTACTAATTCATCAGAATTTAGTAATCATTCATTTTCTATATTATTGAAGCCGCAAGTACAAAATCAGAACATCGTACACCGGTAAAGAGGTTTGTTCTTTGCAAGCTAATATAAATAGCGGTGTGTGAACCGTTTCAGTTCCAAATATTGTGCAGTGCCTAATAGATAAGTAGGTGTTTGTTGATGTAATCAGTGTCGGCAACGCTGTTTTCTTTCTGTTAATTTCATTAACAAAACTTTAGTTGCGGGAACAGACTCGTCCTGTCGTGTTTGTTGTCTTCACTCCGTCGTCGTTTGAGCGGTTTTCATCATGTATGACGTTTACCAACTCGCTCTATTCGCTACCTTCGTCATTCGTAACTTTCGCAGTAGAAGCTAGGAATGACAGTGCGCTCTTCGATTCGAACCGGTATTTGCACACATCTCCAGATGTTACCATGCCTATCAAGCCCGCGTGCAGGTGGAGGACGGCAGTATGTCATGACGGCTACTTTGGGTTCCGGCTCCCGTGCGAAACGGTGCCGTGTTGTTTCAAGACCGGTGGCTTCGCTGCGTTTCCATAGGAGCTAAGCCTTTTTCTTTCTTTACTTTTTCCTCCGGTAACTTCCACTCTTTGCAAATTTCACAAAAAAAAAATGCACCATCTGTGGGCAACGCTGCACAAAGTCGTAGTGCGACAGGTTAAGAAACCGAATTTTCCGGTCGATTTAGAGAGCCTGGCGTCTCCTTGAATCACCCTGTACAACGAAATTTCGGCGTCCATTTTTTGGTCTATATGTGTTCAAAGGAGCAGTATCACATCGAACATACCAATATCTTGCTAAAAAAGTCTCGACAAGGAATTTTAAAACGAATTAAACGATTAGCAAAGTGCACCTGGTGGATGTCGCCAACGCCTCGCTCGTAATGCTCGTCTAGGAACCCTGACAGCTAGTGACGGAGATTGTCTCGTCTCCGGCCACAACGAGAAAAGAGGGCAAGGAGGAACTCCCCTCTTTCCGAGAATGCATTTTGTGTGTCGCAGAAGTCACTATTGTCCCCCTACAAGATTATAGAAGATTAACCCGTTACGCAAAATTCGTACAAAAGCCGCCGCTTCGGTGGCTGCAACGACTAGGCCATTCTCCCGACGTCAGCCTCGCCGTAGCTTTGCTCGTCCCGTCCCGAGACGACCTACGTCACGATTGCGTTGGATGTCACGTGGTCTCCGCCGGGCCTTGTTGAGCGCTTGCCAGAGTGGGCCGTTTATAACGAGAAATACAGCTACCAGGCTCAAAATACAAACGTGCGATGGTCATTTAGGGACCCTGTGGATCGTATTCAACCTATTTTTGAACACGACGGGAATATTTCAAATTTCGTTGAAGTATCCCTTTAAATCGTAGCACATACGTTACCAAGCCGATGTAAGCGGTCGCTTTAAAGGCTTCACCCGGATTCTTGGGCACCCGGTGTTAATGGGAATGTGCCGGCTAGAGCGAATATTTGAGAACTTAGCCAAGTAGTATATTTTAGAAAATTAATTTGCTAACTATCACTTTACCCTCTCTGTCTGACATCTGGACATCTGTCGAGGTAGACATTATCCAGAAGGAATGATTTCTGTATTTCCAGTGCCCCCTTCATTTTTGTTTCTCGGCTCTCACGTCCCTCTCGCTGCAGTGGCGCTGGTGTCGACACGGTGCTCGCCCAGTGCCGACACCTGGTGTGTTCAAGATCTGACTTGTTTCTACACAAGGTGTCGGTCTATAGAAGCTTTACACACGCGCCAGATTACAGACGCCATTGCCGACCTTCTATCGTCTTACCAAGATATCAAACCACTGAAGCGTGCTTTGGCGAGCCTCCACAAAGGCAAATGCAGGAGAAAAAGACACCGTCGTATCTAAAATGCCAGTAACCTGTCCTCCTTTGGTAATGGTGGAGCAGAGTGAAAAATACAAGCGAAAACAAAAACTCAAGGGCGGTTATGGCGGCGCCCATGCACAGCTGCTGTAAAGCGTCTATATGCAAGGTGTCTTAAAGCAGATTTGTATTTCAAAAAAAGCCGTGAAGGCTACACTAACGCTCTCTGTGTGGGTGACTTCTACGGTCAGGGGTACATAACATAGGGCATAATCGTCAGTATAATTCGGTTAATTACTAAATTGTATCAATTAACTTCTTAATTAATAAAAAAAATAGATGCGGTTGCAATCAGAAACATGCTGAGCATCGTCGACAACCACTGAACAAGTAAGCTTTCGCAAGACTTGGGGAGCGTTGGAAGCGCGTGGTGGTGCAACGAGCGCAAGGCAGGTGGAGCGAACATGCGCCCGCGCGATTTCTCCGCCTCTCATCTCTCGTGTTTTTCGCACCGCCAGCATTGCACCCGTTGCAGGACTGGTAAATTTAATGCACCAGCCATGCGCTTATCATCAGCCCTCTATAATATGTCCCCGTGGCCATATAACTTGCCTTCACAAAGAGCATTATTGTAGCTTTCCCAGTTTTTATTTATAAACAAGTCTGTAAGGGCCTAAAGAAACACCCTGTATATCTACAAGCCCAACCTAAAGAGACATCCGTGTGCATACCATCGATCGTGTAGCTGGGGTCGGAGGACCATGCAGAGAAGATGTTCTCGCCGTATTGGTTATCTGGACGGTGTTCAAGAGGTGTTCCCTCTGGTTGTGCGGCGAGATGATCTGCCCAGTCTTGCGCCAAGAGCCGAAGCTGGATCGTTCGAAGAGAAACAAAAGAGAAACCACTCATGGGAAAGATCGACACGCCGAAAGTATACTTATTTTGTATTTTTAGCTTTCAAGCCTGGCTGTGACATTGTGCATAAACATCCAAAAATTGACACTTTTTCCGCGAAGGCTTTGTCTTTTCAATATTTCCTTGTCTATGTGTGTATGCGAGTGTGCATGCACAGTTGATTCTATACCGGCTGTGTCGTATAGAACGATATCAACTATCCTTGTCTTTTAACGCAGAATGTGTTTTATCAGGCTATTTTTATGGAGTTGTCTATTGTTTGGTTGCGAAAAACCGACGCCGAAGAGAAGTTTGCTTATAAGGAACCACATGAAAAGACCAGTCACCCGGCAGGATTTGAACTCGTCAACTTGAGATTATGGGCCTAGAGCTCTGCTGACAAAACTATAAAAACTAATTTTTTGTTAAGATAGTTATTAAGGGTTGGTAATCGGTCGAAGCAGGCAAAAGTGAACTCATTCGCGCACCGCGTCAAGGTGCGGTCGCGTGCTTCGCGGCCTTTCCGATCACGGGGCGCCATCTCACGACGTGTTTCAGAAATGAGAGCGACTGTTCGGCAGGCGCTGCCGTTCAGACGCCCTTCTCTTCTTCCCTAGAAGGCCCATCACGCTTGTATATTTATGCATAATCAAGCTTGTATATTCTTTTATCTTTTTCTTCTAGAAAGCGCTAAAGTTTTTTTTTCGCAATTTTATAATCAGTAGCATTAATATCATCTTATTATAACGGCAGAGCCGCCTGCATTAATCCCCGTCTAGTTCATTCATTATACAACTTGTTTATCTCATTCTAGGACGTATAATTAAGGTCTATCCTGCACTTGGTTTAGAAACGCTGAATCAGCGACCACTTAAATCATTTAATTATCATCAAACACGCTAAATATTATGCATAAAAATATCGCAATATCGACTACCTATTTTTATTTTGTAAGCGCGCGTAAGTGCAGCTTCGGTAAGCCTTAACATATCCCATTTTATTGCTTTGAAAATTGCGAGTTACCAGCAGAATGAGAATTCCTTAGGGCGTCTTTTTCAGATGCCCATGCCTGCAGTACATGCTTGTCGCCTTCCGTCGTGCTTTGACTGCTGTGCACGCTAGAGGATCACGTGACACCGAGCATTATGGGAAGGCAGGAACCTCGCGACTGAGGCACGACAACTAAAGAACCTCTCTGCCGTTCCAATTTTGTGAGTGGTCATAGTTGGTATTTCAAGAAGACTCTAAATAAAAAAAACATACATCGTCATCGTCTTTCAGTCCAGGCACTCCGTGCTTCGCCCTGTAGTAGTCGTGGCGCTTGCGGCAGTCGTCGCTGTAGACAGAAGGGTCCTGGGAGGAGTGCGGGTTTTCGAGTTGCAGAACGTAGCCCAAAAAAACCTGGTGTTAGCTCAATCGAGCCCTTCTATTTTGAATTTGATAACGTATGCAGGGCTATAGCCCCGGGGAGTTTTGTGTTGTGCGTGGTGTCGACTTTACGATGTCAAAGTGTCACCTTACATCATGACTTTACGGGAAACTATAACTTGACAACATGATGCCACGTCACTCTGACGTCACTTTATACTGTGAAGTCATGCGGCATTATCACATCACGTTAAGTTAACACGTCACGTGACATTGTGATTTGACGTGGCTTCGTGACGTCACGGAACGTTAAAGTGTCTTGTGACACTAACTGCCTCACACAAAAAAATAAAAACGTAGCAACCTGTATTTGAGTGGCTTCGTAAAGGGTATTCACACAGGGAAGAAGCCCCTTACTTTGCCCACCGGGATGCGCGTCACGTGGTAACAACGTCACGGTTTTGCGCGGCGCCGCGCTGACGTAGACAACTTAGGGGAATGGGGGATCTTTTTCTCGGAGTGCACAAACGCTCCCCCCGCCTTGGCGTGGGATCTCTTTGCGATCGGCGGTATTTTACTCGCGTGTCTGGCAACTTTACAGGTTTTTCCCAGCATGATGCCGGCGGTGCACGGCATCGGAATCACCTAATTTGTTATGGCTTGCGCCGTTGCGCATGTCGTCCGAGATAGAGCCACTACATGAGCTATGCTTAGAGTAGTGCCCACTTATACCCTTGTTACACGGGCACACTTAACTGCAGTTACGCTAAACCACAATTAGCGCGCAATACTTGCCGACAACATTCTGCGGCGATGCAGTCAGAGCTATGGGCGAACGTGCGCTTGGGCATCTTGAGCACCCATCGAAGCAGTGCACGCGCTCTCTTCACTTCTTTTGAAATAGCTGTCCGAGGGTATAGTGCGGCATCTGTGCTGCCACGTAACCGCAGTTAAAGCTGGTTTAACCGCGGTTAAGTGTGCCCCTGTACCTTGGGTATAACAGGGGTATTAGAGTATCGGCATTCCGTTCCCCGATGTGTTAGTGGGCACCGCCATTTCGGTGTTTAGAGCCGAGTAGACGCAACTGTCGATCGCCATAATCCAAAAATACGGTTTCCTCAACTTTTGACACGGTGATATAAAAAGCTCAGTTGATATCATTTGGCTTTGTTTGTGAACTGTTCTAACGTTTCTTGAAGACCGTAAAATGTGACTTCCCGGTGGCCACCGATGCAGCTATCGCACAATTTGCCAAGTTTTCAAATGCTCGAAATGAGGCGACCTTACCCCGACGCCCGCATCCTCGCGGCTTTGGTAGAGCTCTGCGTTGCGGTCTGCAAAGCAAAAAGAGAAGGTAATTAGAACGCTATTCACCCGATGCGTACGAGTCCTATTCTCTTTCGGTTCGTCAAATAGACCCAACCGTGGAACCTCAAATTCGCGACCCATTCCTCATTCGGATTTGGTGTCGTGCGCGGAACGCCGTTCCAAAGGAACGACTTTTCTGAAACGCGTTCCTTTTCAGGAGGAACCGAGGAACGCCGCCGTTTCCTCTTGCATCGCTGGAACGCGAGCTCGTTACGTTTAGGGATGGCCACGAACCTGCCCAGGTTCGAGTTCGACCAAGTTCGACTTTTTTCGAACTTTCATATTAATGTTACAGAAAGGTTCGACTGAAGTTCGAATTTTGTGCGCAAGCGCAAAAGTGATAATAAAGAAAAGTTGACTTTATTTGGCGGAGAAAAAGTGGAGTATTTTTTGGCTGTATTGGGGGCATCACTGGTTCACATTACTAAATAAAGAAAGCATTAAAAGCGCATATTTTTCGTTTTTATATGCTGTAAACAGTGTTAACCATTTTATAAAACATAAAATGAGCTGCACTCTAAATTATTTGTTTCCCGAAATTCAAGATATTCGTGTAGAAACCGGGCAACACAGTCCATAAGGTCAAAGGTTCGGAGAACCTAAGGTTCGACGTAAAAAGCAAGGTTCGACAAAATTCGCGAGACTCTTAGTTACGTTGTCGAGGAAACGGCAGAAAAAACTGCGTCCTTCTTTTTTTTTTTTTTTTTTTTTTTTGTCTATATATTTGCAGTTTGACCCGTATATAGCTGACATTTGCGCGTTTTTTATTACTCACTATATCAACTTCCTACTTCGAATGATGGAGAGCTGTCCGAGAGATAACCGAGAACAAAGAACTGCTACAAATATGATCGTGGCGACGCGACAGGTATATTTTATGTGGACATTTTCCCTCGCTGGCCTTATTTTATTGGCGCATTATCCGGCGCAACATTTAGTTCAAATGCGCGAACGTAACGTTAATGTAACGACACGTTCTAATCTGAAAATAAATGGAACCGATACGCGTTCTTTTCGAACCACTGGAACTTGTAACGGGATCTCGTTCCAAGACTGAGGAGGAACGGCCATTCGTTCCGGTTTTGGAGGAACGTGCGTACAACACTGTTTGCACTACACTTATCTCAAAAACTGGCGAGTACGCAAAAGAAGCGCGAAGCATTGTTTAAGATCATATATTGTCCGCGAAAGTATACACTGGTTAGCACTGTTTGCTATATGGCATAACTATAAGGTTCCGCGTTTTCGGTGTCTATTTTTCTTTAAATTGGGGGAAGGGGGATATTTATCGGTGTTTATTTTTTTCATTTGAATCGGCGTTTTCCGGTGTCTAATTCAATACCGGAAATAAATCGTTGTTTATTGTGCTCCTGTCGTAGAGCGACTTATAATTACCGCAAAAAAATATTATAATTTGTAAGTTGTAATTTATAACATTTTCTCGAGTAAAGGCCCGTTCACACTCTTGCGACTGCTTGCGACCTCTTAAACCTGGGTTCCTTAAAACTTCTTAAACCAGAGAACACACCGGCGCCATCTATTGGGAAGCAGTGTACACTCGGCGGTCCGGCATATTTTTTTTTTTATTTCTCGCGCAATATCCTTTTTTTTTTTTTTTGGCTCGAAAAACATTTGTCAATGTTATAAACGAGCCTTTCTATGGGCATTACGCACATTTGACCTCGGAAATCCCGCAAAACCTTCGGTTTTGTGAAATGCAGTTCTAGGGTCACCGCATAGATGGCGCCACAATGTCAGTGTGTTCCCTCATTCTAGAAACATTTAAGAAGTTGTAAGAGATCCCGTCTCTCTCAGTCGTACTCGGTCGCAAGAGTGTGAACGGGCCTTTAGGCTGGTAAGATAATGTTTCAGTGAAGCTGCGTTCCGGGTGAACGAGAACAAAAATGGATAAAAAAAATTTTCCCGTAAAGCTGGCGTCTTTTTTGTTCGGTTTTCTCTTCAATGACAGTAAAAATATGTTTTTTTTTTTTTCTTTTTTTGGTTTTCACCGATTCAGAGAAAACCGCCTCGGGGGTTAATTTTCGTTTTTTATCGCTATATATCGAACACACGGAACCGTATAGGTATAACCCAAAATCACCGTTGTGAAGGAACGAGATCGCGGTACGGTTCAATGTTGCGTTATAGAATGGGGGAGGGCACCAACATGTGGGGTGTCACATTGCGCATGCGCTGAAATTCAGCGCCGTGCTAACTTGTTTAGAAGAACGAGGATATGAATCAAACCTTTAGTTTCTAAGCTAGGTGGCGCAAGCTACCGCCTGCTATAGGCTACAGCCATTAGCATCCATCCGTCCGTCCACCTCAACTTGCTCATAATCGGTACATTCGCCTAACTTTTAGCTTAAGGTTAACATTTTTTTCTTCGTTCCAGTATTCCTGGTAAGCTGCAACATTAGTTTTAAGCGCTACCTGACACGCCGTAGTTTATTCAACAATTAGAAACAAAAAAAAATTATTAGCTTATTAGACCCACCGCTGCTATCTTGGGGAAATTATAAACAACCACCAAAAGCACTTTTACGATTATATATAGTCCGTTCTCAGTCCGACCGCGCAGTCATCGCCCTGATCTGTCGAGCCTATCAAACAGCCCCGGAAGTGCAACGTCACGACGCTGATTATCTTTATGTGCCTATAGAAGGAACAGAAAGCAAGATCACTCAGCATTCACTGTGCCTGATTGGTTTAGCCAGAGATGGCAAACGTACGAAAGTGACGGGAGCCGTGACGGTGCACTTTCAGCGCCGCTTGAATAGCCCGGTCGGTTCGTATAGCGCCAGCTGCGCACTCGGACTCGATGGAGAGTTTTAGCGGATCATTCCGGTATGCCTCCCTCGGTAACAATACTCGATGACGTAAAACGTCGACGCATGCGCAAAAGGGATCGCCGCCGAAGTATCGCGGGTGTCGCTATCGGAGTTATATCGGAACGATCTACTAAATCTCCCTAAGGTGAAACGAGATGGACTATAGACCTCTGCATCGCTCATCACCCGGGTGAAAAATGCTGAGTCACTGAGCTCTGGACGCATGCGCAGGGCTTGATGTACCGCACAGCAGAGCAAAAGCGCATGATCAGAAGGCGTTCCACAGCCCAGCAGACAAAGATGGCAGCCCTCAGAAGGCGACTTTTGCAAAGGTCTATAATCGCGTGTAGATTTTTTTTATCGGACTCGAAGGTCCCCGCAGTACGTACCGGGTCTCGCAACAACAGCAGCCAGGTAGAGCGTCGAAAGAGCAGCAGTCAGCAGGAACTTCTTCATGGCGATGGTCTCTCAGAACACGCTGTTGGAGTACATCCCGGCTCCAGAACAGGTGAGCTATTTATACCCGAACCGTAGCTTCCCGGAACGGAAGTCGACACCGGGGAGCAATGAGCGAGCCCCGTATCAGTCGTAAAATGTTTGCACCGTGTGTAGCAATGACATCGCAGCATGTGCACGACTAGTTGCCAGGGCGTGGGTAGATATCAAAAGCAAACTAGGACGCTGCCTCAGCTTGGCACACGGCGAAAGCTATGGTCCCAGTGAACCAATAAGCGGGCCGCAGAGACGCACGTGGCTTACTCTATCTCCCTGTAGTAGATGACGAGTGGCCGGGACAGGCCCCTCCCTCGAGGTCCTCCACTCGTTCCACCTTAGCAGAGTGAACAATGTAGAGGAGGCTAGATCCTTCTTGCCTCCTCTCCAGCGTTCACTCTGCGAAAATGAAAAGAGCGAACGGCTTCGCGGAAGCAGTTTCTCCCGCTTAGTAGTCCACAGTGATGCCGAAGCCACGGGTGGGAGGAAGAGGAAAGCCACTTTTCTGGGAATTTTCAAATGAGGTTACTCCCCGAAGAGGACAAATACGACGTCTGGAGCACCCAAAAGATGGCCCGGGTAAGAGGGGAGTCTCTCCTTCTCCTCTTCTCTAAGCGCTTAGGTTACACTCTCGCCCGTGTACCTTGAGCTGTCACGTGATTCGCCTCCGTCGCTCCCATTGGCTCGTGGTGGTCGAAGGATTCGCTCTTTGCCAAGCTTCGGTGAAACGAGGGCTGCCGTTAGCCTACGCAATAAAAAAAAGAAACGCGCAAAACAAAGTGTTTGCGTGGGTTTTAGAAGGTGGAAAACACGTGCACCTCCGTTTTTCTAGCAGTGAAAAACTGTTATTTCGAGTTTAATTTCGCGCACACGTGTGGAAAAAATAACCTAAATAAGCGAAAGTTCCGAATGGGGCAAAACACGATGACAGCTAATTTAGAAAGAAAGAAAGCACAACGGGCGCACTGTTGTTTATTTTAATTTTTTTTTTTTTTTTTTTAAATACCATATCACAGCCTTGAGGGAATTGCAGAAGGAAGTTACATATAAGAAGACTGTCTTCTTTTTTTCACACTTCTGCTAAAACAAATTTTGGGTAAACAAATTCAAGATAGCTGTAGTAGATACATCTCCTTCTCTACGTAATTACCGTGCACATTAGGGCAGGTAAAATAACGTGACGCAAGCTCTACGACATTCCATCGAGAGTTCAACGAGGCGACCAGTCGCCACATACGTTTTATTTATTTTATTTTATTTAACAATACGGCCTGGCCCAAAAGGCCGTGGTAGGAGAGGCACAACAATACAAAAAATAAGAACACCAGGGATGATGTGGGCCAAATTATTATATAATATTATAGCACCCAGCATACAGAACAATAAATATTAATAAGACATAAAGTTTGAATTGGTGACATCAGCGTGCAACTTGTTCTGAATTGGTGACATCAACGTGCAGAAATGTGGCCTAAAACATTATGCCATATATATAGTACCCAGCACACAGGACAATAACTATTAAAAAGTCATCTGAATGCGAGAAAAATAAATTTCAACCTTTTTTTGAAAAAAAGATAGTGGCTTTATCGATAAAATAGTCAATAGAGTCTGAATTGGTAACATAAGCGTGCAGCTTGTTCCATTTAACAAAGGTTTTAGGGGAAAAGGAGTATTTCAATCTGTCCAATCGTACTTGATAGTCCAGCATTGAACGTGCATGAGATGATCTGGTATTTAATCTTCATGATAATGTAACGTATCTCGAAGTGTCTGTATAATTTACCCTGTATCATTAAAAATAGTATCTTTAATCGATCTATCCACGCTCTTTCGTTTAATGTTAGCAGGTCAGCTTGTGGCAACATTTCTGAAGGGGAGCTTTGCGTTTCATATTTGTTGTAAACAAGCCGCATTGCTTTCCTTTTGCACCTTCTGGCTCATTAATATTAATTTTAGAGAACGGGCCACAGACAACATTTGCATATTGTGAAATTTACCTTAATATCGTTTTATAGACAGTAAGTTTTGTGTTGGGGGGAAGAGTACACTCTAAAAAAAAAGTGAAAGCCGTTTACAAATCCCTGTAACGCCGAATTGGAGCGCAGCTCTTGAGGAGGAGGAGTGAAGGGTACTGAGGGGAGGGTAGACCCCTCCCCCTTCTCCTCCTCCTCCCCTCATTCTTTAATATGCTCCGGGGGGGGGGGTGTCACGTGACTTCGGGGAGGGGGTCACGTGACCTCGGGGAGGCGTGACCTCAAGGCCACGTGACCCCAAAGGTGACCCCCACGTGACCTTGGGGTCACGTGACCTGAAGGGGTCACGTGACCTCGGGGGGTCACGTGACCTCAGAGGGGTCACGTGACCTCAGAGGGGTCACGTGACCTGGGGGTCACGTGGGGTCACGTGACCTTGAGATGACCTTGGAAGGGGTCACGTGACCTTGGGGGTCACGTGACCTCGGGGGTCACGTGACCTTGGGGAGGCGACCACGTGACCTCGGGGGTCACGTGACTTGGGGGTCACGTGACCTTCAAAGGGTCACGTGGGGTCATCTTGGGGTCACGTGACCTTGGAAGGGGTCACGTGACCTCGAGGGGTCACGTGACCTTCAGGGGGTCACGTGGGGTCGCGTGACCTTGAGATGACCTTGGGAGGGGTCACGTGACCTTGGGGGTCACGTGACCCACCCGGACCATACTACACAATGAGGGGAGGAGGAGAAGGAGGGGGAGGAAGAGGAGGAGGAGGGGAGGAGGAGGGGGAGGAGGAGGAGGGGAGGGGCGCGGTTACGCCGACGCCGACGGCGACGCCGACGCCGACGGCGACGCCGACGGCGACGGCGACGGCGACGCCAACGGCGACGCCGCTCAGGCTGGAAACGGGCCCCTAAGAGCTGCGCTCTAAAAAAAGCCCGTGCGGCTACTTTCCCTCACAACACTCGGAGAACCTATCAACGCAACTTACAGAGGTAGCTCAGCAAATGACGATGCCGAAACATATGTTTAGGCCGAAACACGCAGTCTGAGTTGTGACATTAAGCAATGCAAAACGTAACGCTTGCATTGCTTAATATCACAACTCAGACTGCGTTTTTTGGTCTAAACATGTGTTTCGGCATCGTCATTCGCTGAGCTACCTCCGTAAGAGTCGGTGATTGGCTCTATGACAGTTGTGAGGGAAAGTAGCAGCACGGTCTTTTCTTAGAGTGTACCTCAAGAGACGTTTTAAGGCCCAAAGCCGCTCGGTCGCTTTCGTAGTAATGTAATCAATGTGTTTGTCCCATTAGAGTTTATCACTAAAAAATAACCCCAAGTACTTGTACTCTTTGATGCGTTGAATAGGTTGTCCATCAATGCAATAGGAAAACTCCAAGGGACTCTATTTCCGAGTAACGGACGTTGAACAGATTTTGAGATATTCAGCTTCATTTGCCATTCCCGACACCAAGACTGTATCCTCTCTACGCGATTATTTAAAACTATTTGGTCTTTATAGAACTTAACTTCTTTTTATAAAACTCATTCGTTTGCGCATAATCTAATGTTGACATCTATGTTTTTAGTGATATCGTTGATATCTAACAGAAAAATTAAGGGCCCCGAGAGGGGCACGCCGTAGTCAACGGGCAGGGAATCATATTGATAACCTTTAAAATAAACATACTGTTCTCTTCCTTCTAGGTATGAGGTTAACCATTTTACTCATTTATTTGAGTTGAGTATGCTGTTCAGTTTTAGAAGAAGCTTGTTGTGAGACACTTTTTCGAAGGCTTTACTAAGATTTATGAATGAAACATCGGCCTGACTTCTGCTATTTATTACCAGACCAAGATCACGCGTTATTTCTATCGACTGGGTGGGTTACTGTAGACAGGCCTCTTCTAAATCCGTGCCGACTTGCCCCTAATATATTTATATTTTCAACGTAATCGAAGATGTGCCTAGAAATTGTATGTTCTAACAGTTTACAGCACTGATTCGTTACGAAAATAAGCCTATAGTTTGCAAGTTTTTTTTTTTTTTTTGTCGCCCGATGTAAGAACAGGTATAATTTTAGCTATTTTCCATTCTTTAGGCACAGCACTCCATTCTAATGATTTTTTGAATATTATCAACAAGTACTTAGCCATCCTCTCAGAGTAATGTACGAGAAAAGCATTTGCAGCTCAATCTGGCCCCATTAAATTTTTAGGATTGACGTTAAGAAGCAAGTAAAGGATGCCTTCTTCAGTTGAATATAAGGTCACGCAACTCTGGCAGAGCCTGATCAACAGTGTAATTTGGTAACCGCCCATCATCGCGAGTAAAAGCAGATTTAAAATGTTCATTGAAACTTGCCGCAATCTTTTTGAGGCTCTTCAATGATCTTGGCGTTTATCTCGACTTTAAAGAGGGGCATCCGTGGCGTCCACCCCAACGTCGTGTTTTTCTTTCCGTCCACTTTCTTCTTTTTTTGTGTGTGTGTAGCACCATTATATATGTGCTGCAATTACGTGTTCTACTCGCTGATCCACAGCCTCCTTCCGAATTTCCTCGATTTTTCGTGCCGACTTCCGCCGTTTGGCATCGGGCGCTCGCGCGTGCGCAGAACGCTTCTCGGAAAAGGGCCATTGCCTCAGATAACATACGTTTTGGTTCCCTGGACAGAGTTTTTACAACTTGTTTTCGTGTCTCTGATCCAGTGGCCTTGGCCCTTCTACGAGCACTGGCAATCCTACGTTTCAAATGTATTATGTCACGATTAATCCAAGGCCGCTCACGCTTAATAATCTTCATTTTGTAGGGGACAAAATTAGTTAGACACTTCTGCACAATAGTTTTAAAAGAATGATAAAGCTTATCTATATTAGCGTTTCATTCTTAATGATTAGTGAACTTCTCAAGGGACCAATCCAATGTATCTATAATACTAACGTCATCTGCATAATTGAAATCAAGCACCTAAGTTTTCGTAACTTGAGG